GTTACACAAGGAGTGCCCGGAAGAGGCAGTTCCCATCGCCAACGACACGCTGTATCTGGAAGTTTAATTGCCAATGGGGGTCAATTGGATTGAAGGTGTCTGGTTTGTCGCTTCGGTGTTTCGTGGCACATCTTCTCCGTTTCTGTTCGCTGCCGACCTCGCGCGCGGGTGGAGGGCGCTTGTGTCTTAATGAATCTGAGGAAGGGGGAGTAACGCACTCTGGGTTGATTGAAACAGGGGGTGCCACTTGCTGGGGCTGAGGAAGCCCAGCAGGTGCTTGTCTGTTTGTTTTGGCAGGGGGGGGTGGTCTACGGGGCTTTACTGTCCGCCTTATCCGAGCTGAAGTCTGCGCGTGCTTTGAGGTGGGTTGGTGCCCATTGATGTGGTCATTAAGGCTTGTTGCATATTGTATGTAGTCATCTTCTGTCATCTCGTTGAGGGGCTTTGAGACGCAAAAAGTCGAAGGCGGTCTCTAAATAACAGGCCTCTTGTCTTTATTTCATTGCAGCGTGACGGTAATCCAAATGTCGTGAAAGCCGGAGATGAGGGCGAGGTGAAGTTTCCGACCTACTTTTTCTGCTCTCTGAGAGTTACTAGAGATGTTCGTTAGTCATATCTTGATGGAGGCGGAAAGTTGTCCTGCTGAGCGAAATTTTGGATCGATCTTGAGGGTTGAGTCTGGCCCATCTCCTGTGAGCTAGTGGTTACGGATGGACGCCTTTGATATGCTTGGAAAGGTCGTGGTAAGCTGTTGCATGCAAGTTTCACTAAGGGCAGTCCGCTGCTTAGCATAAAAAGGGCAATCGAAGAGAAGGTGTTCGATGGTCTCGCGCTTGCCTGTAGAACAGACGGCACATTCGAAGTCTGGATATAGGTTAGTAGGGTCGGATCTTGTTTAGCCTGTGGAAGGTTGGTAATGTGCGGCCCAGGATCTGGACCAGAAACTTACCGAGTATCAGGAATAATAGGGGTTCTAAGGGCGAGGGTAGCTTTGGCTGCCTGAGTCTGCAATCTTATTGAATTCCTGGTGCACTTTTTCAGGAGGAAGCTCGGTGAGAGATCTTGTGGCGGTCTTGTCACGCATGTGAGCTTTTACATGACAGATGGTGGTAAGGCCGGATCGGTTTTGGATTTCGTGTACAATTCTGAGAACAAGAGATCTGTCAGTGATTTTTCGATCATCTGTGCCGGTGGGGGCCTGAACTTCCATTTTTGGACATTCATTTGGACTCTTTCAGGCAAGGCCAATGCGCGCCTGAATCAGTCGCTCACTACCTGAACAACCCCATTAACGCTCGACTGCAAGCTTTGCGCGAGGTTGCGCAACTTCGTAGGCAATAATCCCGCCAATTCCGGCGGATTCAGATTCCATTTTCGCACAGTACTGTAGCAGCGTAGCTCCGGTACATTTCTTACTAAGTACGC